AGCTACAGGCTGTTCTAGCTGTAAGAGGAAAGGCACACAGATCAAGAGGCACAATCTTTATTACCATAGTTTGCAACAAGAAGAGAGCTCTGTCTCTGTTGACAAACCACTGCTGTCAAGGAGCCTCAGCTGCGCTGCCACTGCTAGGCTTACAATGCTGAAATCTCAGCTGATGTTTCCCACAAGGACCTGGTGCTTTGGCCATGTTCCTCCTGCAGTCTTCCAAGAGCTGAGGCACACATGACCCTTCCCATGGCTATGATTTTTTTTTCCTTCCCCTTCCCTCTTGAGAAAGGAATCCTGCATTCGGTGGAACTAGGCACAGCAGTTGTTGTCCCATCCCTAAGCCCACATCTCATCACAGATTCCTTCCCTGCAGCTACAGCCACCCAACAAACTCAGCCATTCCTCAGTCTTCCATATGAACCGCATTGAATCTCAACTTTCCCCTCAAAGACCAAGCCTCTAAAAAGCTTTTGGCATTGGCAGATTTCCTATTCTGGTTGTTTTATAGATCACTCTCTTCCTGCCATTTCCTTTTCACAGGACTCCTGCAAAGCCCTGTTCACAATTCAAACGAGTAAGTAATTAATTAGTTTAGGTCCTGGAAATATCATATACTTTGCACTCTTCCTGTAGACTAGGAGAATAGAATTGTTCAGTGCTGTGAACAATTAGACAATGCCCTCTGAGGCATGGTTTTCACCAGGCAACTCTAGGACACCTCTCCTGGAAAAACAAATTAAAAATCCAAGTCCTGCAGCTTAACTCCAAGCATTTACAACAGCTCTGTTCTCCAGGATAAATTCCACAGAATAACCCTGAGCTCCTTTTGAAACCAAAAATACAGTATTCCTGCACAGACTGAAATTTTACAACTCAAAAGTTTCATGTGCAGATGTACCATGTTCATGCCTAGAGAGAATAATCTAACTAGTAGTAAAATCCCATTGTAACGGTTCTCCTGTGGCTTTTCTGTAAATATGTCTTACAACAGGAAATTCCACTCCCAAATGATTGCTTATTCCCATTCCCAGCTCCTAGTAATCTGAATCGTAATAAGATCTCTTTAATTAAAAAAGACAGCACTTCTATCAGGTTTTCAATAGCTACTTGGCTAAAGACATGCCCTTCACTTCCAAGTTTTTTTTTCCTTTTGGAGCTCACAAATCAGCTGCTATCATGCACGAATTGCGCTTTTTTTGAAACATCAGGTACGAACTGAACTTGATCAGCAGAGAAAGGCTGTGCTGCTTCTCTAATTCTGCAGTATCCTTATAGCAAGACACAATGAAAAAGGCATGAAAGATTGATGGGAAAAAAGAGAGAACATTAGCGCTACTGGAGTGACATATTTAAAACACTTCAGTTGTGACTTCACTATTTTTTTTTACTATGAGTGTGAAAAAGTAACGACACTTTAAACAGTATAAATTAAAGAATGGCATGAAACATACTGTTAAACCTTCTTCCTATCATGTTGTAATTCCAGTTTAACTGTGGTAGGAAATAAATTAGTACAACTGATTTCCATGGTTTGATGCCAGGGACGCTACTCTCCTTGCTCCAGCAAACAGCTTAATGTGCCCCAGTTACTGCAGTTCACCCATGTGGAGGGCTGACCTTGGCCAGTGCCAGGTGCCCACCAAGCCACTCTATCACTTCCCTCCTCAGCAGGACAGGGTGGGGCGGGGGGAAAAAAGATGGAAAAAACCTTGTGGGTCAAGATAAAGGCAGTTTAATAAAGCAAAGGCCGTGTGCAGAAGCAAGGGAGAACAAAAGATTTGTTCTCTACTTCCCACCCGCAGGCGATGTCCAGCCACTTTCCGGGAAGTAGGGCTTCAGTACTCATAGTGGTTGCTCCAGAAGACAAACATGGTCATACCAAATGCCCACCTGCGTCCTCCTTTCTCTTAGCTTTTATTGCTGAGCAGACATCATATGGTATGGAATATCCCTCTGGTCAGTTTGGAGCAGCTGTCCTGGCTATGTCCCCTCCCAAGACCTTGCCCACCACCCCCAGCCTACTGCTGAGAGGGGACTGTTGGAGAGACAGCCTTTGTGCTGTGTGAGCACTGCTCAGCAGTAGCCAAAACACAGGTGCGTTATCAACACCTTTCTGGTTAGCAGTGCAAAGCAGAGCACTGGGAGGGCTGCTATGGGGAAAATTAACTCCATCTTGGCCAGGCCCAATACAACCCACTGAGTTCCGATGGGACAGCAGCATCCTTTCTGGATTGTCTCTAGAGATTAATTGCTTTTATAGCTCCAGGATGCCTTTCCTCAGACTCCTCTCCTGCAGTGGTTTATTGTACAGTTGTGCCAGTTCGGAAACTATTTCTGAGACCTTCCTGAATCATTCGCTACCAGCAAGTTGAACTGCAGACAGTTCTTCTAAGTGGTTATCTGCCTCATAAGACTCATACCTCCGACATAACTGCTAATTGCTGGATAGTCTTGCTTGAGCAATCAGCTTGATACGTTCATTAAAACATCACCTAGAAATATCATTGCAAACCTTTCTGGGAGCTCTTCATCTACCTCAGGTTGTTGCAAGTCGCTGGCTAGGCAAGGAGACTGCACCATTTACACTCCGCTTTTACTGGGATGGCGTCATTACCGCTACCCGCCCTCAACCGTTCACACTAGTGCTCAACTAGTGTACTTACTAATATACAATTGGAATATTTACTGCCCAGTCTCACGGTGGATGCATACTGAATAATTCGTCCTTTTGCACGGGTTCAGCTGCACCCCCGACAGCAGTGTGGGTTATGCGGAGGCATGGGTGCTGTAACGATGTTTTACTATGAAGTACCTACTACGGACCAATTATTTTCCTTCATTTTGGCTTGAAGGTTTGTAGTTCAAGTACAAGTACTTTTAAGACAAGAGGTGAGTACACAAGGCTAGAATATCTGTGTGATAACGCAGTGACATTCCACACTCTATCCTCCACATACACCTACTATTCATAGATTCATAGATTTCTAGGTTGGAAAAGACCTTAGAGATCATCCAGTCCAACCGTCCCTAATCTCCCATTAAACCATATCCCTAAGTAGTTCATCCACCCTTTTCTTAAACACATCCAGGGATGGGGACTCAACCACCTCCCTGG